CGATTTTTTTTAGGGGGAGGGGGAGAGGGGATGGAGTGGGGGGCAGGGACAGGGTCCTGAGTCTGAGGAAAATGGTGGATCCAATAGAAAGATGGGATGGGGCTCAGTGGGGCGGGGTGGAGGGAGAGGGTGAGGGGGGTAGTGCAGATATTAGCAAATTACTTCATGTGTACGTATGGGAACCTGATTTAAAAAATAGTTTTTAAACTGAGAGAAGAGCAGGAAGGAGTAATTGGGGGGATGTGCTTGATCAAAATATATAAAATATAAATACCACAGTGAAACCCTGTTATGTGATTAGTACATGCTAATAAAAAAGAAAGAGGAAGCTGGGCACTGGTGGCTCATTCCTGTCATCCTAGCTACTTAGGAGGCTGAGATCTAAGGATCACGGTTCAAAGCCAGCCCGGGCAGGAAAATCCATGAGAATCTTATCTCCAATGAACCACCAGAAAACTGGAAGTGGTGATGTGGCTCAAGTGCTAGAGCACTTGCCTTGAGCAAAAGAGCTGAGGGACAGCGCCCAGGCCCAGAGTTCAAGCCCCATGACTGACACCCCCTCCCCAGAAAAAAAGGACAAAAAGAAATATTGGGTCCTGGGGGCCCCCCCTAGCCCTTGGAAGGGCTGAGTTAAGAGCTGAGCCCAAGGGCTGGGATGTAGCTCAGTGGCAAAGCGCTTGCCTAGCAAGCGCAACGTCCTGGGTTCGATCCCCAGTACCAAAAAAGAAAAGACAAAAAAAATACAGTTTAAAAAAAAAAAAAGAGCTGAGCCCAAGGCCAGGGCATATGAGGAGAGAGGAGGAGAAGGGAGTTTCACAGTTCTGAGACTTGTGCAGTCTCTCTGTGACTCATAAACACAGAAAAGGACTGAAGGGAGAGGAGGGAAAGAGTGGGGTGCCTGCTGAGGCCCAGCCCCCTGTCCACAGTCCCCATCAGGCTGCTCGGTTACTCTTGCTCCTTGGAGAAGACCCTGCAGGGCAGCTGCTCCTTCCACTGGGTCCCCTCTCCCATGGTGTGGTGGTGGTTTGGAGGCACCACCAAGGGCAGGGACAGAAGGGGTGACACCCTGCACATCACCTCTAGCACTCTTAGCCCCTGGACCATGCACATCAGGAGGGACTCAGAGATTATCACAAGACTCCGCTGCGGGGTGGCGGGGAGGGGGAAGAACCAGAATGGGATCCACACATCCAGAATCCTCCTGATAGCTGGCGAGTCACAGAGGCCTCGTGACCAGCCTGGCTCAACAACAAGGAGGGCCAGGGGGAAGTGGGGCTGGGGAAGAAGGAAATAGTCATGGTACAGCTCAGATGTGAAGTCTTAGGAGAAAAACCACTCTCTGGTTGCAGCTAAGACTTCACTTTTCAAGGTGTTCAGGAGAGGGCTGCTCCACAGCGTCATGTATGGAGCATTGCATTCACCTTGCTCCTCTTCCTCCTGGTTCTCCTTGTGGGAGTACTGTGGTTCAAATTTGCTCCCTTGAAATGGACTCTAGGGTCAGTCACTCTATATTGGCACTTTAGGCTATACATTTCCCTCTACATTCAGCCTTAACTGCATTCCACAGGTGTTCATTTAAATTATCTCTATAATTTGGTGTAAACATTTCTAATTAATTTTTTACCTTTGTTTTAAAGATATATTAATAATTTCTAATAATGCTCTTTCTAGCTTAAGTCTAATAAGACTAATGTAACTCTGCACGAAATAAATTTCTTCTCTTTGTGTGTGTGGTATTGGTTTTGAACCAAAAGTCTTACACTTGCTAGGCAAGTGCTCAACCACTTAAGCTATGCTTCTAACCTTCCATTTTCTTATTTGCTTTGTGGCAGTTTTTTGTTTAATTGTTATAAACATTCCACCTAAGCTTTAAAAATGTGTATTCTATACTATTTTAATGAAATTCATATCTACTACACATGTATGTGTGTGTGTGTGTGTATAACTTTTTTTTTTTGCCGGTCATGGGGCTTGAACTTGGCCTGGTTGCTGTCCTTCAGCTCTTCAGCTCAAGGATAGCACTCTACTACTTGAGCCACAGCACCACTTCTGGCTTTTTGTACTTGTGTGGTACTGAGGAATCAAATCCAGGGCCTCATGCATACAAGGCAAGCACTCTACCACTGAGCCAACTTCCCAGCCCCTATATATTTGTAACTTTAAGTCAAATGTATTAATCCTGTCTGAATCTTTCCTATTATTTGCCTGCTTCATTTTTTTTAAAAAAAGAAAGATGTGCTGGGTATGGTGGCTCATGCCTGTAATCCCAGCACTTGGAAGCCTAAGGCAAGAGGTTTGCAAGTTCAAGGCTAGCCATGGAAAAGTTAATGAGACACTAGCTCAGAAAAAAAAAAAGTTAAGAGCACAGGGCAATGTTCAAGTGGTAGGGCACTTTTCTGATGAGTAGGAAGCCCTGGGTTCAGTCCCCTAGAAAGAAGACTGAAGGAGAAGGAGAAGAAGGAAGATGAGGAGGAGGGTAAGGAGGAGATGAAGTACAGGAGGAGGAAGAAAAGAGAGGAGGAGGAGAAGGTGGCGATACAGAAGGGTAGAGTGGGGGTTGGGCAGGTGAGGGGAGCTTGGTTTTTTAGTCCCAGCCCAGGACTTCCTCCAGGAATCCTGTAGAGGGTGGAGGTGGTGGGGGCATGGGTAGAGTTGGGGTACCGGGGTTAGCACGTTACTCACCATGGGTCTCATCCCCTTAGAAGATACTTGCAGGGTACTGGTGGCTCACGCCTGTAATCCTAGCTACTCAGGAGGCTGAGATCTGAGGATCACAGTTCAAAGCCACTCCGTGCAGGAAAGACCATGAGACTCCTATCTCCAATAAACCACCAGAAAACGGGAAGTGGTGTTGTAGCTCAAGTGATAGAGCACTTGCCTTGAGCTGAAGAGCTGAGGGACAGCACCCAGGCCCAGAGTTCAAGTCCCACAACTGACATAAAAAATAAAAAAAAGATTCTTATGCAGTGGCAGAAACTTGACATTCCCAAGGCCATGGAAGACCAGAACCTCAAATTGCTCACTTCTGGAGCAGCCAGAATTCTGGAGGGGTCTGAAGCCTGAGCCCAGGTGTTCACCAGCCTCGGGCCAGGCCCCCACCCCAAGAAGAGTTCCCCAGGGTGGAGGGTCTGTGGTGTTTCTTCCATAGGGAGGGGCTCTGGAGGGAGGAAGAAGAGGGTAGAACTGTGGACTCCAGACACACGTGCAGCCCAGCAGACCTGCTGAGGCTGCAGAGCAGCGGCTTTGCCACCGACTCCAGCCCTGGCTGTCACACCTGCACAGGACAAAGCACCCCTCTCCAGCTCTGGGCTGGGGACACAAGGGGACAGAGGGGAAGGGGCTCAGGAGGAAGTCCAGGGTGCCATAGCTTGGGTGGTGGGGGACCAGGGCTGGGGGAATAAGGGAGGGCAGACAGCAGTGAGAAATGAGCCAGGAGTGGTCAGCTTTCCTGTGGCAAAGCCACTATGACCCTTTTAGAGGAAAAAAAATCCTGAATATAGTAAAATATCGTTAATTGTAATCCTCATGTTGTAAGTTAGCTCTCCAGTCTTCCTCGTCCACATCTGCCATTTTATGACCTTCTGCCCACATCTTCCCACACCAGCTAACTACACTGCAGGCTCTGGTTCTGAATATTTGACTCCATATGAAAGTGAAGTAAATCATGCAGTATTTGTTTATCTGTGTGTGATCTGAACTGTGTCTGAGGGAGGAGGCTGGAGGAAGACTGGGACCTGGACCCCCGAGTCTGAGGGAGGAGGCTGGGGCCTAGACCCCAGGGTCTGAGGGAGGAGGCTGGGACCTGGACCCCCGAATCTGAGGGAAGAGGCTGGGGCCTGGACCCCTCAGGTCTGAAGGAGGAGGCTGGGGACTGGACCCTAGGTCTGAGGGAGGAGGCTGGGGACTGGACCTCCGGATCTGAGGGAGGAGGCTGGGGCCTGGACCCCCCGGGTCTGAGGGAGGAGACTGGGGACTGGACCCTCGGTCTGAGGGAGGAGGCTGGGGACTGGACCTCCGGATCTGAGGGAGGAGGCTGGGGCCTGGACCCCCGGGTCTGAGAGAGGAGACTGGGGCCTGGACCCCCGGGTCTGAGGGAGGAGGACTCCGTGGGCCCGGCGCTGGACCCAGGCGGGCGCGCAGAGCGGGCTGCGGGCGCGGGGCGGCCGGGTAACAAAGGCCGCTCCTCTGCCCGGCCCCCC